GTCTTGTATCTATTGTCGTGACGTCATGGCTCGCTGGCTCTCACTTGCGATGTCTCGCACTTGTGATCAAATAACATGCTGGCTCGCACTTCGGTAACACTCTTTGGCAGTCAACTCGCCCCTAGAAAACCCGCCCTTGGAAACTTGCCCCATAAACAAATGTACACTTCCTAGACCATGCAGTCTTCAAAATAAAAATTGTAACCTTTGGTAATCAACTACATTTTCCACATACATAGAAATTTTTGAAACTTTATTAAAAAAAAAACCTAAACCATGATTCACCACTATAGACACTTTGACAAAAATGAAAAATTACGACTTTGTTACCCAATGAGAAGTGTTCTAATATAGACAATGTCGTGTCTCAAATTATTTGTTATTTTTTATTATTCATTATTTTCACTTAACTCGCATAAATAATTTTGTTCGAAGAACATTTATATTCAGTTGTACTTCGCAGCACTTCTCTTGCAATTTACATTTTCTAGTTTTATTTTTAAATTGAGGTGTATTTTTAAAATTACTAAAAAAATGATATCTGGTATTTTCCTAAATTCATTTGCTTTAAACAAAAATAGCCCTCCTAAATAGTAGTTTTATGGTTTCATTTTATCTTACTGTGTTTCAATATAATTATTTTAAAAATAATGATAGATAAACACAGAATTCTAATAAGTAGTTTAAAGACTGACGTACCTTTACATTAGTTCCGGCCTCGTTGGTACCACCATCATTTTATCTAGAGACGAGTCATAGGCCAGGATCGTCCCGTCCACTACACTACACCAGCAGTAGGTGGTTATTTTATGTTTCGCCTAACACGCTAATCAAATTTCACTTTGCTCTTGGGAATACAGACGGGCTGCTCCTCTATTTGGTGACATTCACTTGTTTTTAAAAATACGTAAACGTACCCTCGACCACTTCCGTAGCTTATTCAGGTATCCTTTGTCTTCAGTCTTTAAAATACTGAGCCTCGCGTGAACCTAAGACGGTTCGCAAAACCACCACTTTCTAGACTGCAGCTTTTCCACGCACTCGATATTGTGCGCAGAACAAACATTTCTCTGGAATACAGCTTTTTTGGCGTTTTGGTTGGTGTTTTCTTTTCCTCCATTAATTACCACGATATTCCACACACCACCTGCACGTAGCCATGTCCCAACTTCTTAACACCTCTACATTCGTGGCACCAATACGAGAACCGTTTGATTGGTTGACCTTTCGTCATAACATTCACCCTGTTGCCAAATACGGTATCCTAAAAATTACTCTTTTACAAGTCTATAATTCGCATACAAGTTTCTCGATATATACCGACGCTGGTAGCGCTCTCCAAAATTTGCTAATACTAGGAAAACCTATAATTAGAGACTTGTGGCAAGTCTATGGCATACCCTGTAGTAACATTGCATTAAAGGTCATTATGTTACGATTGGCTTAAAGACCAAAGATTCAATTCTAGATTTATTTTTGGGTTTATATTCTATTAATATCTACTATAATCTCATTTTAAAGTGAGCTTTGAAAGAAACATCTTTAGAATATCATAATGAATGGACAGCATATTACATGGTGTACAGTATCATGTCCAACAAGCAACTGAACCCCTTGGAATTAACAGTAGACCCAAGCACTAAGAAGCTACTCAAAGTGAAGTCACACAAAAATGAGACAACTCTGTAGAGACACCATTTCTTAAAGCAAGGCTTTGGAGGACAAAAAATTGTTATGTTGTAGGCCTACAACTGTTTTTTCTAGGACACAAAAAGCATATTTGACAAAAAAAACTAGGGAGCGGTTAATCAGATACAAATTTTTAATATTTAATTCAAAACTGTGTTTTCCTCCAAAGCCTAGCTAAGATTAGTCCATAGAATACGAGAGAAAAAAGTCTATGCTAATTTATTATTTTATAGTACAGTATTTGTTAGAGACTCTTATAAGTAAATGTAGTAGCGACCAAGAGAGAATGTAATGTTTCTAGAGTTATATATCATTCATATTTGTAATTAAATTTAATTAACTAAATGATTTTGATTTTGTTTTTGACAGAGCATTTGTTGGACCTTTACTCGGTGGTGCATTGGTTCAAAATTACAGCTTTGCGATGTCATCGTCTGTGTTTGGTTTCCTAAATTTTGCCATTGCTGTTCTTATCTTCGTGTTCTCTCTTTGGGAGTTCAATTGTGGAAAGGGGTAAGAAAAATATTCCAAATGATAATTGTTTACATTAATGATAGGATGTTGTATTACCTCAAGGAAATAATAATTGATTATGCAGAAAGTTATACATAAACAATATGTATTTATTTCAATATTCTTTTTTCCTATAGGAGACGAAAAACTGTTTATTTTACACGATTTCAAGATGAAACAGAAGGAGAATGTAAGTCGGAGCTTCTTGATGATGAAGACGCAGTATAAATTGAGTACAAGATCATGGGCACTGAAATATTTATATGAAATTTTGAAATACATTTGTAATTTTGAAATGAATTTATAATTAAATTTAAAATACATATATATATATATTATATATATATATATGTTTGAAAATGTGTATATATGTGCATTTATATATACAGTATATAAATAAATCATGCAAAAACAAAGAACCAATACTATGTATTCTGTTCATGTATCTGAAGATTGGACTGATTTTGCATTGTATGTTTATTTAGCCACTCATTAAAATTGATTTTACGTTACTCTTAATTATTCTTATATAATTTTAATACGATACATTAAATCATGGCGCAGATCATGGGGAACGGGGAAACGTCACCCCCCCCCCCCACATATTTTTAAGGGAGGTTTGGTCCCTAACTTTTTGGCGGTAATGTGCTTTCATAAGTCAAAAAGATGCCTGAAAATTGTTGAAATGAACTGCATGAATAACCCAGGTTTTAATGTAAGAGCCCTGTACAGCCAGAATAAAAAAACACCATTATCTCTGCCCACAAATATCAAGAATTACAAGTATGGGGGAAAAAAGTGTGTAAAGATAACATTGGTTTTCGGCACATTAAGTAGGTAAAGTAAAGTAAATACTGTACATCAAACACAATTAAGTTTTATTTTCTATGGTGCATCACAGGGATTAATTAGATCTAAAAGATCATGAGAAATTAGTTTGCACTTCATTTTAACTACTGTATAATGGTGATGTGATGGTGATGACATAAAAGACAATGTTTTAAATTTATATTTTTATGGAACATCACACAGATTATTTAAATCGCTATGACTGCTGATAAAAGATCATGAGAAATTTGTTGGCGCTTCATTTTGACTATAATTTTAAAATAGGATTGGAACTGGTTCACGCATATCAAGTTAACTGAGATAGTGTGCACAATCACTGAGAATTAAATTACACCAAATTGCTATAGAAGAGAATGAGAAATCGTGTTTTTAATATAAATCTAAAGTTGTGTTGATATAAGCGTATACTTCTCTATTTTATAATATTATATGATTTTTTAATATGGTCTGCAAATGCATGAGAACAACGAAAAGCAATAACATCATTAAAAATTCAACAAGTACTGTACAGCAAACATTAAATTTATAGGTCTGTAAAACATAATGAGCTGATGTTACCAAATGATCGATGACACAATAAACCACTAATAAAATTCCAAAATATGACGACAGTTTTGAGAACGATCATTTCAGGCAATGCCTGAAAACTTTATTAGGCCTAGCCATTGCTAGGCCTTACGCTACATACATGTTTCGACAGATCCTACTGTCATCAGTGTACAGAGATTCCATATAGGCAATCTTATTTAAACGAAGTGAAGTTTGTAATACGTCAATCTATACGTAATTCAAGTTGTAAACACCAAGATCATGAATAAAAACAATGTATAATTAATGGTAAAGGGAATGAAAGAAAAATTAACATGGTAAAGTTGTTTGTTGAATGAGGGCTGCTCCTATTGAATATGTAATGCCTCCTTTATTTTGAGATGATGGAGACCGGCAGGCACAGAATCCTTCACTGAAAACATTTTTTTGGTGTTAAATGAAGAAAAAACCAACTTAAATTCAGAATCATTACATAATTGCTTAGAAAGCAAACGAATTTTATGCGAGGCAATCTTAAAAGGGGCCGATATATATGGAATTTTGAAATAAATGGTGGTGGTGGGTGTGGCATCTTCAATGGCCTCCGGTGGTTTTGAACGTTTATTGGGGGAGCATACAGAATCAAGATATTTCGAAATTATTTTATTGATGATGTGTAGCGGAAAGCTATTTTCCTTAAGATGGATATTAAGGCTTTAAGGTCTTCATGAAAACCCATCCAGCTACAATTTATTTTGAATGTCCTGTCAACTAGCGTTCGGACCAGTCCGAGTTCGTAATTGAATGAACAAAAACTAAAATAATTAGTGAGGAGCCCAGTAAATATAGGTTTCCGGAAGACAGAATGAGCTGATGTTTGAAATTATGAAGTAAAATGCTTTAATTAACGCTACTGGGACTTGGGCTGCATTAAACTGAATGTAAAGTGCAGGCCATGGAACTTAACCATGATAAAGCCGTACTGGGAGTTCCAGTTAGAACCAGTGGTTAATAGGCAGTCTGCATATGCCACTTCATTAAATGGTGTTTCTTGCTTTTGTTATGTGGATTTGAGGTGGCAATTCATATCTGTAGCCACCGAGCTAAAACCAATATTTCAATAAAAGATCCATATATGTTAAAGATACAATACGTCATAGGAAAGAAAATACCTACCTCTATTCTTGTGCATAAAAGAAAGAAAGAAAGAAAAAGAAATAATTGACAGCCTAAAATGCCTCAGAGGTTATTTTCGGCCTACATCGGCCCCACTTCCGGCTCTCCTCCCCCAACTTTTTTCATCTCTGGATCCGCCCCTGCACTGACCTCAGCCTCCAAAAATATGAAAAGCTCGGCTCCCCACCCACCCACTTTTTTCATCTCTGGATCCGCCCCTGCACCGACCTCCGTCTTCAAAAATCTGAAAAGTTCGTAACATGCACAACAAAAACACTGTATTATTTGCAAAGCATTTTGCGTCTTCTCATTAGCTACCCATATGCAATCAACCAATGAATGTCTCACAAAAATAGGCCTTCATTTGCATATTATGGTCAACCCTGCAATAATCATTCACTATAATGTAGAAATTCTTGGGAAAGAAAAGGTAAGCGATTTAAATAAAATAGATGCTACTTGGACGGAAGGTGATCCAGGATCAAAGGGCTAAGGGCATGGCAGGGTTATTTTCTCCTATTAAATTAGTGCAGAATTTTAGCCATTTTAATGTTTTGTCTAAATGATTTCAAGATTCATTATTAGGATGTCGTTAATGTCCCACCACTGGAACCATAGGCGAGTTAGCCGATAGTGTTCCAACAGTATCATCCAGTTTGTTTGGTTTTCACATTATGTGAATTAGTTGTCACCTCAATTTTAAGGTCAATTACAAGCAAATGCAATACTTTCATAAACTTTGAGTATTTTCGATTAAATTTTACAGTCCTTTCTTCTATAAAAGAGAAGAGCCCATGATCAACTTCGTTTTGTCTTTCTGTCTCTTTAATAGCGTTGAAACATGTTCATCATTCTAGTTGTATTACAATCGTGATATTACAGGCCTACATATTCAGTAGTTGGTGTTCAATTCTAACTAGAATAAAAAACCTTAAAAGGCGTAACTTGCCTTACAGACCTTCTTCAAAGAAACACTATCGAATGTGAAAATGCCTCTGTTTACTGATCAGTCTACAACGAATGGTTATGTTACGGTAAGTAATACTTTGTTATAATCATTATAAGGATTCAATTTTTACTACAGATCTCCTCCAATTAAAGACAACTATTGGGACCGGGGTTTTCGTGGTCTTTAGAAGCTTTGGTCTCTAAATATCATAATAATGATAAAAGAAATTTGTTAAGTTGGGACCACAGAAAAGTGGTCTTTAGTTGGAGGGGTCTTTATTTAGATTGAGACCTGTGTTTTAATTGTTTTTAGGGCTATATTAGTTAATAGCACATTTTAATACATAACTGCCATTATAATTTAAGGTCTTAATATTTCTTATTTGTTGAATAAAGTTGGCTATTCAACATGCACTTTATAATTGCTGTTTTGTTATTGATATCATTATCATCATCATTACTGCTGTCGGAGAGTATCGAGTTTATTATATGTTTATAAAATTTACAACCATTTAAATCCATATCTTTCTAGTTTAAAATAAAAGGAAAAGTGTACTTTTCACTATATTGGTATATATATATACTGTCTCTTATACACATCTAGATGTGTATAAGAGACAGGCTGTAGTGTGTATAGAGCTACTTTTCTGCTTTGGTTCGTCGTCGATGTTATCGTTATTAATAAACCGTAGGCCTACATAGCGCATAGAGGTCTCTATGATATGCGCTCCATAAGTCTCCCAGTATTATTACATATCTCTTTCTGATATATAAGATAATTGGAGAAACGAATGTCACAAGAAATGCAGCACCAAAGGAAGATAATAATGGTAATCGAGGAAAGGAGAACAGTCCGCTGACAACAGACGGATCAGAACCCGGAATATATGGTGTATGGAGCAGGGCTGTTGGAGGGTCGAGAAGCCCAAATGCGAAGCTACTGTATGGCCTTATTTGTCTCTCGCAGTTAATTTTGTTCATGTCTTGGTCAATAATAGCTCCATTTTTTCCACCAGAGGTAAGATAGCAGCGTATACACGCACGCACTGATATTACTACTAGCTACCACCACCAAAACTACCACTGCTAAAACTTACTACCACCACAACCACCTCTACTACCACTTACCATTACTGTACTACCAATCACTACTACCGCCACCACCAACTAATAATGAAGAGTGCGTTAATGATGATGATGATGAATATAACGAAAATTGGTAATGGCAATGATGATGAACAATTGCTGATAACACCGTTTGAAACACTGTTGAGTAATTAAGGTATATAAAAACTAAATTGCACGATATTTGATAATATTATACTGTATTTAACAGACTTTTCTATTTTATCTAACACATTGTAAAATGTTGACTTCCCTTATTCAATAATCAACATTTTATTTTCAGGCAGCAGAGAAAGGCGCTAGTCCTTCACAAGTGGGACTTATTTTTGGAATTTATTCCTTAGCTCAGTTTGTAATAGCACCAGTTTGGGGAAAATTAGTAAGTACACGGCCGTACTTCGGCTATGTTATTGAATCTAGTCTATTGCATATTCTATTCAAAATGACGCTGGCAAAAAAAAAATTGAATCTAAATATATTTGGCTATTTCACATTTAAAAACAAAAATGTGTATTTAGCATTGGGATTTTCTTTATTTAAGTGAATTTAATTTTTTGTTTTATGCTATAGATCCCTGTGATCGGTGCACGGATTGTGTTTATTTCTGGCTATTTTGTATCAGCATGTGGCAACATCGCATTTGGGTAAAGTTTGAATTTGAAAATATATAGAATAAAATTTGTTTATGCACCCTATACTGGTTTTTTTTTTTTTTGTTGTTGTTGTTGTTGTTGTTTTTTTTTTTTTTTTTTTTTTTTTTTTTTTTTTTTTTTTGTGAATGCTCAGCTTCGAGATCTAATGCTGTTCCGTATTAATATAAAGATAGCGAATACGAATCACATTCCCCCAATGTGATATGCGCATTTTGCATATCAACCTTAAGTCCATACTCGTACTTCGTTATCAATCTGAGATGGAAAGGGTGAAGGTTTGATTCCGTTCGATCGGTTCATTGGGGTATTTCCTATTATTCTAACCTTCTTTTCTTTCTTTTTTATTTTCAGCTTTTTTGATAGAATGCCTCCTGGAAGCCCATTTGTCATCACGTCTCTGATAGCCCGAGCATTTCAGGGACTTGGAACATCGGCGGTGTTTACTTCGTCAATGACAATGATTGCCTACACGTTTCCACGTGCAGTTGGAAGATTAGTGGTAGGCCTGTTATTTTGTGTATTTTTAGGTACAGTTATATAATATGTATGTAGCTGTTGATGTTGCTTATCAAATTTGTATTTCTACCGAAATCCAGTCATTGTTTGCC